AAACATTCTCTGTAGTGAAAAATCCTTTTAACCTTTCCCAGCTCTATTATCATTTTTTGAGATGTTTACTGGTTGCTCATAAATATGTATTGCTTCCGAACCCGAATAATTACGCCAAATCAATCGAATTACTGCCAGTTCGCGTGGGCAGAAGTTGCGAATCCCTGCGGATCGGAAATCCTCCCTTTTCCGTAGGCGTTTTCATTTGCGTATATTTCCTGTCGGTCCCTTGAATAAATGAATACATCCATATCGTCTTGGAAGTGAATCGAATCGATTGAAAAAAACCCCAGCGACAATCAGCAGAATAAACAATCGCTATATTTTTATGAAATATATTTACCTATCTTTCAATTTTTCATTCTTTGTGAGCAAATAATAGGGTCCTCTTACGCTCCTATTTTTAGGCGCATCTATTTCAAGATACAGGGTGTCGAAATTAAAATCATAATTTTTTTTTAACTCATAAATCCGTCGTTTTTTAAATACGAGGAATCAGTGCAAATTTTACTTAGAATTGTATCTCATATCGGAACACTTTGTATGCAATTTTAGTTAGCGCAGGAAAAGGGGTTGTAGTGGCCACATATCCCCCCCCCCCCACTTTTTGCGTTTGCTTCTTTAATTGTTTTCACTTTTATAAAATTTTGTTTTAGCACCTGGTTTTTAAAATATTTTAAATTCTTTGGACATATCACTGTAATATTTAGGTATTATATTGCTCTAAAAAAATAGATGTATATTGAAATATCAAATTTTGCAAGAATTTTGGTTAAATGATTTCTTAATTTACTTAAAAGAATAATTTAAAACTGAAATCAGGTATTCACAGACAGATGAGAGACAAGAGTTTTTTTAAGTAACGATATTGTAGGAAACAACTACTATAGATCTCAATGCTTGCGTAGCACCTACAGATTAGTAGTTGTAGTGTGTTTTCTAGGTTATGTCTCACCCATACTCAAAACATGTCTTTAGATATACATCCAAATAGCTAAATCGTTCGTCGGTCATCTCACCTGTGGTATACTAATGAGAAACAACACTTTTGTTATCGTTTCTATAAGTTTAATGTTGATATTAGATATCATTTTCATACCTAAATTTCTGGATTCGAAAAACATTGTTTGATTTCATATGATATTTTAGAAAATATTATTTGAATTTGTTTGTACTATCTTATCATTCAGAATAGATTGTCGCTTAAGAGAAATTGAGAAGTTCACCATCAACGAATGGATCAATATCGCAATAAAAAATCTTATACCTCAAATGATAATTAAACAAGAGAGAAAGAAACGCTTGGTCTAAAGAACAATCACTTAAACAATAGACCTAACCTAAAAAAAAATAGCTGGGGGGCAAAACTCTCTTTTCGGTTCGTTTTATTTTTTTACACAAAAAAAGTGTCGACCTAGAAAAATCAAAGCAAAGATTCAATTGAATATGTTGAGGTATTAATAAAAACCTTTTTTAAATAGCAATTTTGTCGCCCATTATTGAAATAAATAATGATTAACGAATTTCTTTATTTTTATCCAAAAAGGTTAACAATTTGATCTGATTTTTGTTAACACCCTGTGATGATAGAATAAAAGTTTCAAGCGAAGCAGTATTGTGGCTTTAAATACCAATATCGTAGAAGATAACAGAGGTGTAAAAATGTTTCCGCAGGACACCTAGAGCGCCATCTACATACCAACAGCCCTAACATTTTCACGCATTACGCTAGGTCCTGGCAATAATTCTTGGGAAGCTCCATCGACCAGGCAAAGCCAACCCTGACCTCGACCCACTCGCGGGTCAAAACTTGTGCCGAATTCGGCCACTTTGCTACTTACGTCAGCGGAAAGGGAGCATCCAGTTGAGCCTATATATAAACCCTTATTGCTCTTTTTCCGCCGGATTTGAGGTATGTATTTATGGATGTGGAGATAAACGATCGATGGTGGAGCCAATTTAATTTTCTACAGTTCTGATTTGGCAAATATTGATAAATTAATCTACAGAGTGGCGCAATGGGTAAGGATGACCGTGAAAAAAAGCAACGATAAAGAAATCACGGCTTTTGAAAATGTACTTTTTTATATTAAATATGCCTATTTTTTCATAGCGTGGTCGATGTGAAAGAATCATTTTTTCTTAGTCGAAAGTATGGATAATTTTACTAAAATGTTGTAATTGCTCCACGGGCATTCTAATTTTGGTAAAAAAATCTTTATAACGAGCGTTTAAATAAAAATGTGGTCGAAGTTGGCTCTGACACATTGGACGTAGGGAGTAGCTTATAGCGACCAACTTAACCTCATTTCTCAACGAGCTGTATAGCTCAGTTTCAATAACGTTATTGACTATATAACTTTATTTTAAAGAATAATCGTGATAACAATAACAAACAATTAAAGGAGCTGCGGAAAGTGTCCTCCTCCTTGTTATAACAATAAATTAAAGCAGCTGCTGAAAGTGTCCCCCTCCTTGTTCCAAGCACTTTTCACACCTGTTCCTCAAAGAATTAAAGACATTTTCTAAGATGCTCGGGGTATTGTTAATTTCACGAATCTTGTCTATAAGTCGAGCCAGCAGATGGTTTAAATCAGGAATAGGCAGTTCAAAAATAGTGTTTTTAAGGTAAGGCCACAAAAAGAAATCACACGGCGTAATATCACATGACCTCGGTGGAAATTCATGTTCAGCATTGAGACTTATTAGTCGATTTTGGAAAACTTCCCTCAACATATTCATCGTCTCACCTGCCGTATGTGCCCTTGCGCCATCTTGTTGAAAGTAAAAGTTTGTAATTTCGTTTTCTTCCAGCTGGTTAACAAAAGGAGCGATAATTTCTTCTCTTCTACCTTTGCGCAGTAAGAGTACCATTAAAAAAATAGGTCCATAAATCCTCCTTCAATTGAGAGCACACCAAACTCCAATTTTTTGAGCGTTTGGGCCCTCGACAAAAAAGTTATCTGGTTTTTCAGAAGACCACATTCTCATATTCTGTGAGTTTACGTAACCACTTAAATGAAACCAGGCTTCATCAGAAAAAAAGGTGATATTATGAAGTTCACCGTAGTTGTTTAAAAACCATTCTCAAAATACAGCCCGTCGCGGAAAATCAACTTCATGAAGTTCTTGCTGACAAGTTAAACGATAGGAGAACAAACGCAAATCTTTTTTTAACACTGTGTGGCAGGTACCGACTGATACTCCCACCATTTGTGATAAAACACGTACAGAAGTTCTTGGCGCATTTTCTATTATTTGTTGGACATTTTCTTTTAATTCTCCAGTCCGCTTTTTAGGTCCTTCTTTTCTTGATACACTGCCCGTTTCACGAAAAACATTAACACAACGCTGAACTGCACTTTGAAAAATTTTGTACTCAACAACGCCGGGAAATTGATTTTAAAATTCTATGAAACATTCCTCAATAGAATACTTCCATATTCCATCAATCTTGCGTCCATTTCTAAAGTAGGACTCTATGATAAACTTTTTTAACGACAATATTCAAATTGATATCGGCGATATAGCGCTTTGACAGATGACGTTTAAGTTCATTTGCTATACGCTACGCCCTACGTCCAAATTTTCAGAACCAACTTGACCACGTTTTTATGTGAACGCTCGTTAGTATAATAAAACAACATTCCAAATTTCATTAAAATCTGTTAAATCACAAAATAATTTTTTGAAACAAATTTTGAAAAAATTTTTTCGAATTTTCAAAATTTTGCACAGCCTTCAATAAATGATTTAGATACTTGAAAAGTTTTTCACATAGAAAAGACCACTCAACTATTCAAATGGTTTTTGAGAAATTGAAATCGTTTGATTAGGACGGTCACATCCTCAAAATAGATTCGCTCTGATCTATTAATAATTATTAAATCACTAAAACATGTTTTATAGATACCTAAAAATATTAAGAGAGAGAGAAAAAAAGAATTTAATGATATGTAATGAATGTGAAAATAACTAAAAAATAATAAATACTTTGTTATATAATAGAAATTTTGAGTTCAATTGAACAAAATATTATATAGGGCGTCCCAGAAATAAATGCCACTATTTTAACCATGTTTTAATTCCACAAAATTTTTATATAATATTTTTTTTTCGAAGAATCACAGTCAAATCGGTTTTGTTAAGGATTTTATACCAATCAAGATGACGCTAACGAGCTGACTATGAATTAAATAAATGAGAAACGTATGAGAACGTTTTATGAAATTAATCAATTTTAACTTATCTTTAAATTTTTTGCAAAACTAAATACTGAATATAAGCACTAGTTTCCATTTCATTAGTTGACTTAAGGTTTTTGACTTATGTATCAGGCAACAAAATTTAACAATTTTAAGAATTACGTTTTCTTAAAAACCAAGAGTTTTTCGAAAAGAAAAATGAAAGGTGTTGTTCCATTTAATGAGTTAAAATTTTGTGTAGAAAAAACAGCATTTCCATTCGGGGATTTGTTCACAAAAAAATTGCAAAACATTCTTTCAAATAATATTATTCCAAAACATTTTATTTCAAGACTAATCTTTTTTCAATTTACCTCATGATACGAAATAATTTTCTACAATATTTTCCCAACGTGTAAACTCACCATACGTCATTAAAATAGATGAAAATAAAAATAAAATTAAATATCTCTGACTTTTAATCTGTATACATATAAAGAGGGATCGAGCTAATTTTATTGTAATTCATTCTCGTTGATTTAAAAAATTACGATACTGGTGCTTCTATCTTATACAAAAATGAAAAACTTTATGCTGTCTACTTACAGAATGCTTCTATATGTATCGTCTTCCTGGGATGAGTCATCAGGGAAGCCAAAAGATGGCGCTGCCAGATCTTCCCAGAATAAATTTCGCAGTAATACAACAAATGTATTCGTATTTAAAATATTTTGTTTATTTTCTCTGTGTCGAAGTTACATACTTCGACTTTTGGGCAGGACTTTATTGCACCTAATATAAAAGATTGAAATAATAAATAATGCAAAAATGTATTTTAATTTTTTTTAATAAAGTACTCTAGGTTTTTAAATCTACAGAGAAGCCGAGTCCAGAGAGCACATACTTTAGCAAACCTTGTTTCGGTCCACATTTACCTTGAACGTCATCAGCGTTTATGGAATAAATGTGCACTCCGAAATACTTCAGGTCACTGATATATTCAGCCTGAAAGCAACGAAATATTTATTCCTTATGTAGCTCATGTCAATATTATAGAGAAAATATATGATATATTCACCTTTATTGTAACTGATTCTGGATCATCGTATCCAAACCATTTATTGCCAGAATATTTGTAAGGGTTTTTCTGTTCATCGTCCCAGATTCTTGTCCAATTGCTATATTTTTGGCATATCTAAAAATTATCAATAATGAGCTGGTAAAAATGCATTTCAACAGATCTAATGAATTTTGATATTGAAAATAATGAAGGAAATTAATTCATTTTCAGTTTTATGTAAAAAAATTTCTTTATTAAAATCTGTGATACCTCAGAATAGGTAAGTAATCCGGATTCTCCAGGCACTGTATAATCAAAGATGTCGTGTTTCTTAGGATTCTTCAGAGTGAAGTATCTCCCGTAAAACGCTACAGACACAGCCAACTTATCTTTCGCCAACCCTCTGACTTCCCAGGATTTGGCAGAGTTCACCAAATTGTTCGCCTCCATTTCCCAATCACCTTCTTTAGAAGACGAGCGAAAACCGGAGTACTGACCAACACGATTACTGCTCTCCAAGTAATTGTTGTAGTTTTGTATGTTCACCCAGTCTACTATTCTGAAAATGAACGGTGAAATTGGCATAAAGAAAAATAGAAGAATTGCAAAATTTTAGTAAACATTACATGTAGAATGATTTGACTCAATATTGAATACCAACTATTAGAACCAACAGGTAAAAGAAGTCTTTATCTTTTTGCATGTACTTACACGTTCATTTTCCCTACGTGGTAACCTATATAGGTAGGGGCAATGTACACAGATACAGCTAGCAGCCAACCTTTTGGCTTGAATGTTTCTTTTACCGCTTTCAGTAGATCAATATATTTGTCCTATAAAAATAAAGAACGAAAATGTGTTGTAACATAAAAGAACACCGTTAAAAGTTACCCTATCTTCAAACTGAGGTACATTCCAGTATATATCCAACCCATCAAATTTATATATCTCCAGGAAAGAAACGACGCTTCTAATGAACGTGCTTCTTTTTTCTGCGTTTTCTGCCATTGTTGGGTATTCAGAATTCTTATCACCTGACCCCTCTGCTCTTAGTAACACTTTTAGTTTAGAGTTTCTAGTTTTCATGTCTGCTACCTTTTGAAACAAACCTGCAAAATATATTAAACAGTTCTCTTTTCATCTAATCTTAATGGATAAAAACGTGTAAACTATCCCAGACAGACCAGATTAGTAATACCAGGAAGGAAGTACTGATAAAAAGAGTCCTTTGTTAAATGCCGATGTAGCCTAGTACATGAATGGATCGAAGATAAATGCAGGAGTCGGAATAAGCGAGGCTAATGGGTTGTTCAAGTTTCGCTCAGTCTAAGAATGCGTGCCACCATCTTCCATGTGGAAGCGATGGTCACTGAACGTCGTACGTCAAGAATTTTTACTTACGTCGGAAGTCAGTCAAAGTAAAAAGAAGTCAGCTAGATCCAGGCTGGTATGGATACCGGGACATAAGGGACATTGGAGCGAGGCTGAAGAGAATTGTGTAAATGAGAAGCTCTAGTAAGAATTGACGGTTCTGCTCGGAAGCGAAGAACCAGAAGCTCAAAGAACCATTGTCAAAGCTATGGATTCTAATTAAAAAGATGAAGTTAGTGAGGAAATCATGGATGTTTGTGGAAGGAGAAGGTTTAGGAAAAATGGGGAGAAGAGGAACTAGTTTTAAATCTATGGAACCTAATTAAAAAGTTAATGTTAGATGAGCAAAAAGGTCATGGAGAAGCATGATATATCTACAGATGGTTGAATTGGAAAAGAATAGTGTAGAAAAACTTTAAGCTATGTAGAAGTCATTGCCAAAGCTGCAAACCTTAATTAAAACACTAAAACCGATGAAGGACTAAAAGATCAAGGATCAAGTCTGCGTAACTCACTTTTGGTGCCCCCTGCAGGGACAGGACTGCCTTGAATGTTGAGACTTCCATCAGCAGCGAGTCCTACAGAAGAATAAATGACATAAGTGCACAGAGAGCTATCCAAATCATCTGGATCGACGTTGTTGTCGTAAAATCGCGTAGCCTCGTAGACGCAAACAACCCGTGTAGACGGTTCTTCACCTGGATTATAGTTAGGTACTAGAGATAAATTGGGAGTAGGCGATATTGATGAATCTGGCGAAGGCGGCGGGACGACCTTATCCTGTGGCAAGCATTCTGGTTGGGGAGACCCCCAAGATCCCACGACGCAGGATCTAATATTGGTGGTGCCGTCAGGAAATTTGAAGCCAGCCGGGCAGTCGTAGTACAGGGTGGTGCCATCGACAGCGTCCAGGCAGCTGATGGTACTGCCTTCTTTGTTGGTGCAGCGGAATTCGGTTCCGTGAGGGAACATCAGAGGTGGACACAGTACTAAACAAGTAGGTCTTTAGTTTGTTTATTAGCAATTTTATTTTTTTCATGAAATACAACTGGTATTATAGTATAACTGTTTTATTGAAAACCTTTAAAGATGCGATTGGAATTTTTTTGGAAAACAACTTTATTATATATTTGCCATCCAGTTGGGATTTTGTTAGGACTGAGTTGGACTGTCATTGACATACAATTGGAATACGATTCCAATCTAAATGAGATCTTATTGAAATTGAATTTAATTTTGAGTTGTGGGATTTCTTATTAGAATAACTTTAAATTTGTGTTGTGAACGTATAAGAAGTTGTCTTAATTTTCTTCATGGAATACAATTGGAATTCAATGTAATTGGTCTCCATTTGGAACCTTATTTGAACTAATTTGTAATGTTGTTGAAATGAGTCTGGTTGGAAAATAATAGGAAACTTCTAATACAGGGTGTTAGAAGCTTGACTGCCTTAATTTTAACAGACTATAGAATACATTAAAATAAACAAAAAAACCTTATATGACTGGGTCCTAAACTCAATCATTTCCGAGAAAAATATTAACAAAATCTCCAACTTGATGTACAAAAGTTTGATTAATTAAGGAACGTTGACATAACTGCGTGCACAGAATACCATAAAATACAATGTTACTCACTTTTTTAACTTCTTTATACTTAATTCTAAAAAATAATTAGCGTTGTAATAAATTTAAAATTCGATAAAGTTCATATCGGGCAATGTGACAACGGCGCTGCGGTTTATTAACACGAGGTACTAAGGTGTCCAGCAACCACCAATACGCAATTCAGTTGGTATCTGGATTCGACCGTGTCGGTGTGTTTTTTGCGTACCACTATTTCCTTTTCTTGAGGCGTTTCCCAGCGAGTGCGCGAAAATTGGATTCGAAGGTGTCGCGCGTGCATCGAAAATGGTAGTGGACATTTTAAACATATGTTGTAGTTTGTTTTGTACTTGTGCGTTTAAAAATTATTGAATATTGCTTTTTGGTCAGTATCTAAATTATTTTTAATACGTGTTATTATTTAATTATATATTTTTCAAATACATAATTTGATTAAAAATTAAGTTCCTGTTTTAAGAGATTAATAATTACTCAAATTCGAGCTATCTTCGAATACTATCTTCGTACTACAAAATCGATACATTTTATTTTATTTATTTAATAACTGGAAAACAATTGTCGTGAAATTTACTAAATGTTTCACAATAATAGTTGTTTACATTTTTTCCATAGGACAAGTCTGCCGCGTGCACAAGCAGGTTAAGCGCTGTTGTCACGTTGTGATGATATTTTTATGGATACTCACGTTGACAAGTAGGCATGTTGTGCGCCGATCCGCACTCGATATTTGTCGTCTTGGATGACAACTTAAAACCTAGATTACACTTTATTTTCAGGAGGGTATTCGACGGGACGGCATCCCCTGGTTTTCTCTCTTGTTTGTCAATTGTCCACTTGCCATTTTGCGGATGAGAAGGCAGCACGCAGTCTTGGATGGTCATAGTATGCTTACTCATGACGCGGTCAATAAATTCATAGTAGAAGGCCACCTTGGTATAGAGGGAGTTCTGCTGGATATTGCAATCACCTTCTGTCGTCGTAGGACCAAGACTTACGAGTCCATGGAGGTAATACCTGTTATCATCCGGGTTTTTGAAAGCCAGGCCACTGCCACTGTCGCCGGAGCACACGCTGGTGCTCTGATTGATGAATCCCGCGCATATCTTGTCTATCATGTTGTACTTGTCAGCCCAGTCGGGAGGTAGTTCTTGAGCGCAGGTCGTTTCGTACTTGTAGGGGATCTTAAGGGTCCTCAACACTTCCGATGGACCACCACTCTCCGTCTTCCCCCATCCAGATATCTGAAAACACTATACTTCGAACACGATTTTAAAAATAATTTTATTGTGTTACCTCTCCTATACTTCCGGCATGTAGAGGAATATTATTTACGTCGTTAAAACAGACAGGTTGAACCACATCGTTCAGTGTGAATGCTCCTTTCGTTATTAGGACAGCTAAATCTCCCAAGAAACGTCTTCTATCGCCCTTATAATTTTCATGAACAATTATCTTTGAAAGCTAGAATATCAAATATGATAAAATATGTATTAACTTTCCTTTTGGTGACATATTGTTATTTTACAAACAATCTACGTCTACAAAATGTATGTTTTACAGTAGGTATTATTTAAATAAAATATTTACTTCTAAATATTGAGCAAATTTATCTTCAGGAGCCTGATACTTGTTGTAGAGTTTTCCAACTCCAACAAGATAGTCTTCTTTTGGTAAAACATCTCCATAGTCGTTCGTAACACAATGGGCAGCTAAAATCGTAAACCATATTTGATCAATAACTTTATTGACATAATAATTTCATAAATACATACATAAAGACAATGAATTCTTGTGTTGTTTTTAACTCTATTACTAAATTGATAGAAACAATATATACGTACAAAGATATATGTACAAATATATACAAACAAAGAAATACACATATACAGATGCACATACAGAGATGTAGAAACAAAGACATACATATAAACGTATACAAAGACATACATACATACAAAGATAATTGACAGAAAAAGATATACTTCATTGTCCGGGTATCCCCGAGATGTTACTATTTAGTCCAACAACTGCAGGAAGGTGTACTAGGATTTTTCTTTTATTACTTTTATTAATGCCACTATATATTGTTTATTTTCATCCACACTAGTAAAAGATTTGTGTTCTTGCGAAACAATTGGTTTGAAGCAGAAAATAACAGCAGAGGCGTAAAAAAACACCGATTAATAGTTTAACTGGTATTTTCTTGGCTGCCTTTTGTTTTGACAATTAATTTAATGCGCATCTAAAACTTTCCCTTGGTGTTTCGTATGGCTATTAATGTTACTGTTATTAGCGGTTAGTGATTTATTAAAATTGCGTATAGCTACAGTAAATATGACCTGGTAGGTATTAATATATGGTAAATTAATTTTGTCCTGCATCTAGTTTCCAAAAATGTTTGAAGGACTACGTAACACTGGTCATTTGTAACCCCATCGAGAACGTGATGGAGGTCACGGAAAACCTTTCAATGTTGAGGAGGAATTTTGAGTTTGGTAGAGGTATGACCATCGCTGTATGCAACGGCATTGGTATCAGGTTTTACTGGAATTAACCTGAAATCCAATCTAAACTGGTTCCAAAAATAGTTTTACTGACCTGTTAACACCACAGTCAGGCTTAAAATGGAGCCACCACAAATATTTTCAAACGTATTGTTTACTTTTGTGTATACTGCAGTAACCCAGGGGTACTCTAGCTTTTTATTTGGTACCGAACCAAAAATCAACGGTTTGGCGTCATTGACAATAGTTTTTCCACACACTAAAATGAGATAAACATTGACATAACTTGATTTTGGCATGATCGTCACTACTGACCTGGTTGGCACACTGGTTTTGGGTAGTTCCAACTTCCTTCTGAACAAAGGAGTGTTTTCTTGTAGCCAAACGGCGTCTCGTAGAAGGGCGCACATGTATATAATAGATAAGTTCCTTCCGAAGCCTCGTTACATTTGATATCTTTCCCTCTTTTATCTGTGCATTTTAGATCGACTGTGGCTGAGGAGTAGAGCGGAGGACACAATGCTAAAAATATAATAAATTGTGAAATAATATAAACACTACCTAATAAAATTGAGGGAAGCAACTACCCTGCGGACTACAACACCGTCCAGCTTGAATTACATCCGTAATATAAAATAAAAAGCACATAATTAAGGCATTGTGTAACAGTGACTATTAAGATTTGACTTAGGAAGTCACCCAAACAACGGTATTAAGTTGAACGACTTTGAATCTACCTTCACATTCCGGAAATGGACCAGAATTCCATTTATCGTCACAAACTCTGTATTGAATTTGTGACAACTTGTATCCAAAACTGCATTCGAATTTTACGACGCTGTTTTTCGGTATTTTGTCCCCTGGTGAAGCTTTGCCGTTCAGAAGCTTCCATTCTCCGTGTTCGGGGAAAGGGGGGAGGGTACATCTGAAAAATTTAGTGAAACAACATTCGCACGAACATGTTTATGCTTACCGTTCTTCTATGTTGTGATTACTGTATCTTCGCCGTCGAGTAAAATTTAAATTGGAACTATGATTGCAGGTGTGGTTGAATGCATCTGAAAATTTTTGTTGTTAAAATTTTGCTGTTTATTAATCAAGTCCACCTTGAAGACAGAAACAAAAGAATATTTTCTGCTATTATTTTTGAGAACCAAGAACAAATTGGATGGATAGAATTGATATTATTAGTAATAAAGGGTGTGGCGTGTATAATCTATAAAAATTAAACTACAGCTCCCTAACGATATTTGTAAAGAAAAACTTCTATTTTTAAGTCTTTCTTCGTAAATTAAAGTTCAATTATGAATCAAAATCTTTTCTCTGGAACGGTCCTGTCCGTGTGCTGTACGATGGGTTACCTGCTGCAGACCAGCTTCGTAAACAAATTCATTTACAGCGAACCGATGTTGAAAATGAGTTTCCCTAATCGCGTGAGGATTTTCATTGGTCCATATGTGCATATTATAGAAACAATTCATCACGTGTAAATGTCGCCTTATCTGTTACACAAACATAAGCAGGAAACTCTATTTGATTGGCACATTGCCGTAAAAACCATCTACAAAAATGTATTCGTTGATCACAATCCAGGGGCAAAATCAGTTGAACTGGTTGCAGATGATAGGGGTGCAACAGCTGGCGACTTAAGATGGGATGTACGGTACGAGATGAGGTTCCTACTTGGTGTGCGAGACGTCGAGTACTAATTGTGGGGTCAACTTCAAAATTAAGGTTCACTTGCTGACCACGTCCTTCTCCTCGAGAAATAACACTTCTCGTATTTCGCAACCGCTGAACGCACTGTAGGATTGGATTATATTTGCACATGGAGGGTGACGTTGTGGCCATCGTTCCCCGTACAACCTAGTCGCCGTGAGCGCATTTTCTACGGCTGCACCATACACTAACACCATATCGACACGTTCGGAAATAGTACATGCATTGTTTTCTCGGTTCATTGTAAAACTAGTTTGTGCATATACTAAAAAATTAAGCAAAGTAAGAAATAAGAATCTCGTTTTTAATGTAATCGGCTTATTCTTATTTTTTACTTCTTTATAAAAATTACACTGTCACTATCGTGGAATTACAAATTAAAAACTTTTGTCTGGAATCTTTCACATTTTAACACTGATGGGTTGATGGACCATGCTTAATATTTAATAATTAAGTGAATAATGAATTCAATACAAACACAAAATCAGTTGATTGTACAAACTTTTTGACAATGTAACCTAACCTACTTTTAGTATTACTAGTATTAGATTATACTGACTTAAATTATAAGGTTGCATCTCCGGTCGCATAGAAACATTTCCACAGTTTTTAATAAATAACACATTCTCGTTGAATAAATGAACTTTAAAAAAACGCGAAGATAGAACTTTTTCGTACAAGACTTTTCTATTACAAATATCATCAGGAAACTGTATATTTGATAAAATGTATAATATGTATTTGACTTATTTAATTACTCACTTCTTATCCTAGTTCTGTAAAAGTTTTAAACATAAAACATTAAAGAATTTAGTTGTGACCGATTGTTTAAGACAAAGGAAAATAATTTTCATATTTAATTGAAATAATGGAGATCTGAAGCTGTTCGTCCGGTGATTAACCACATAATTATGTCATTAACACATAAAATAAATGTTAACGCATTTTTATAAGACCACAAACTGCTTACGAGACTACATAAAAATTTACTTACTAGCAATAAACAATAAGCATCCTATCACAACAATTAATACAAGTTTATGCATTATATTATCTGGATAGTCACAATCTTGCAACTATTTGAATAGGTTATATATTTTTAAAAACATTAGAAACACAATCGTCTTTATCAAGTTGTAGAACTAGTTGGCCTCATCACTGACGCTAGCCAGCGGCAATATGTTGTAAATAATATGATAAATTCCAACAGTGACGTAGGTGTGGTTAATTTAATCATTAAGTGGATTTTTCGGTTAAAATATGTACACTGAAAACAATATTTTGTAATTTTACTTAACTTTTACTTCTTTCTCATTTTTCGTTGGCTTACTTGCGTACCTGTTGAAATCAATTAATTCCTCTAAAAAAAAATTTGAACTGATGTGTTTCTTAACTTTTTTATATGCATATTCTTAAATAAGAAAGATGATTACAACAGTTGCATTAATTAATGTTACCTTCCCTTTCAACATAAAATACAGTTAGCAAAACCATGGATTTCATATTATTATATAGTCCAACGGGAGTTTCGGAGTTGTTGAATCCACAATATTGTCACTTCCAGGCGCAATTTGCGAGGTCCGCATTCGTTTTTATAGTATGTCTTATTATTAACGTTTTTACCCTTTTCGCACTCCATTTTCAGGTATTTAGGAGGTCAGCAGCCATGAACTGATCCCAGAATATGAAAGAGAGGACAATTTCAGCCCCAAAAATCCATTTTCAGCCTTGTCCCCGGCGACAGAACTGGTTTCTTGAGCGATGTGTCATCTCCTCGCGCCCCATCATTTTTGGGCTAAAATCCCCCGGTAGGGCCCATAGGAGTGATTTTTGGGCTTTGTGCCCATGGAGATATTTGATCAGTAGGTCGAAACCTATCTTTTCCCAGTCACAGAGAAATTCACCGAGGGCCAAAATCCATAAGATTAGTGCGGGGTCCTTTTCTATGCACTTGGAAATTTTTTTTAGCTAAACCATTGCATGGATCATATATCTTCTTTATTCAGCTTCAATTTCCTTTTATTTAAATTTCGATACGACCATTTTGCATCGAAATATGGGACTTTTAATGATCTTCTGTCTTCAAACGATATCTCGGCGACAAATGGTCTTGCAGAGAATTGAAGGGCAGTTTCGAAAACTGGAATAAATTTCCTATAAATGCTGCCGCATTTTTTTGGAAAAAAATGTTTTTTTCATCTTTTACACGAATTTAAAAAAACAGGAAAAAGGGTAATTTATGGTTTTTTAGAAAATTGACGGCTAAATAAGACATATTCACGAAATGACTAATGTTAAGTATGACAGTTCGATATACCCAGAAGAATCCTGTGAAGATTCTTCTCGATCTAGCTAATCGTTTCTTTGTTTCGAACAGTCAAACTTTTGAAAAAAATTAAAGGGTCGCGTTTTTTGAGCTTAAACACTTCATAATCATGATTAAAAAGGAAAAAAAAATTTTGAGGTTTTGTCACATTTTTACCGCAAATAACGTAAATTGATGAATAAAAAAAAATGTTTTTTTTTTTGTATTTTTGGAAAACCTTCCGGACATTGAAGAAAACAAAATCCTGTTGTTTCCAGCACGATTCGGCTTTTCCGTCCTATGCTTCTGTTCATCAACTTTTAATTAAATTAAAATTAAAGTTGATGACCCAAACCACATTTCGACCCCGATTCATTCCGTTTTTTGAGACAAATTTCGAATTAATTGTTGTGCAGTTTGTAATCACTTAAAAACAGTTTTTTCAAAACTATCTTTTTTTTCTCTTCAATTTTTTTTTTTAGTTTATTATTAAAGCTGTCATCATTGGCCGCTCACCAAAGGCGTGCGGATCATCAACATAAAATAATGTGAACAATGATTATAAGATTTATGTCATTGTATCCATTGTGAAACACGTAAATTGTTTTACGCATTGTTGCCATCGGTTCTAAAATCTGGATGGGATTCGTTATAGATCGCATCATCAGATATATTTCTACCCCTGTTTCAGCGAAACTTATTCGCCGAGGTAATAAAATATCTTAATCTGATCTACTAATGTAATATTTGCATAATTAAATAATCTACTTCCGAGCTGGTTCGATAAGGTAATTTCCACTCGAGGTTGTATTTATTCCAGTAGGAATAAAATGTTTCATTATTTACTATATCAAATGGTAGGTTAGAAGCAATCAGTATGACGATTAAATCAAACATAAATTGAGGCTTCTAGTTTTTGGCAGTTTTTTTCTACGTGTGTTTGTGCACTGTTTAATATTTATTACTTTATGTTTATTAATATTAATTTTAAACGTTTTTATAACGTATATACAGAATTACATTATTGTTTATATTTTTTTAGAAGAGGAAGAATTGTTCGTTATCTAACTTTCCCTATGACATGCACTTGAAATATCACGTGTGGAGTGCCGCTTTGTTGGACAAATTTACTACTGATAAAGCTGTGATGTTGACTTGAATTTAATACTCTTTGCTTTTTTTATTAATTTTATAAAAAAATAATAAATCAAACATTTAAACGAAGGAAGCAGCTTAAAAATGTATTTTTAGAACTAATTATTTCCTTTACTTTCATAAAATTCTTTTCTATTCCAAATAATATATCTCTGTTTTGTTTTTCACCTGAATAGTTTTTATGTTAATTATGTCATAGCTACTTATAGGTAATTTTTTTTGCATAGTATAGTATCAATTGTTTGCTGTTTTTTAGGACTAACTACGCTCGACATAATTACATACAATTATGCATCAAAAGACAACTAAAATCGTAAAAGAAATCGTTCAATAAGCTCGCGTGGCTTACTGATGGCGCCAATGGCTAGCGGACCGATTGTGACAGCTCTAACTATTATAAACCAGTCAAGGAAATTAAAGACTGGTGGAAATTTACCCAGGCAAGAGCAAACATACTCCCAAAGTTTTTTACTGATATTCAAGTAGCAATTTTTAAATTTAAAAACTTTTTAAACCTCAAGGCCTTGAATTAAAGAAATACACTATATTAATGTGATAATTAGGTATTATAACTTCAGTCACTACGGTAGACCATCCGTTGAAAAATCGTTCTTTCAGATGTTAATTTTTGTCTGTTTTGTTGAACAACAAGTTTCATGAATAATTAAATAATATCCAGATTATAATTAAGTCCAACTATCGTTAAGATGTTTTCTGTTAAAAAAAGGTTTTTTTCTTCCGTTTATTTGGGCGTTTTACAATATATTTTAAAAATAAAAAAATAATTAAATAAACCCTTGCGTCAAAAGAGTAAGTAAGAGTAAAAATAAACTGAGGAAAACCTGGAAAAAAATTAAAACTACGTCACAAATATATATTATTAAGCAATGTAAAGATATTTTGTTGGCAAACTATGTATATTTCGTAAATACTAGAAAAACAAATAATATTGGTATCTCAATTGGAAGTTTATGTGAGGCTGCATTTGTTTTTAGAAATGACTTATGCTGATAAGGTCTAGTACAATGATATGTTCCAATTTCAATTCTGATAAATGCTGAAAAATGGTTGGTTTCCAGGGAAAAAAAATCCTGCTATCGCGTTGTTACAACGTCATTAATTTTAACCACGTACTGGGAAAGCCTAATAAAGATAGAAAATCGAAAAAAAATTTGTCTCGATTTGAATGCAAAAGGTCCGAAGTCCGTATGTGGAAAATAAATTTCGTAAACAAGAGGTGTGTGAGATGATGTAGTAAAAAAGGTATTATAACTCGGAAAGGGTGCGGTGAATCGAAAAAATAATTTAAAAAATCTCCCCACACCCCTGGTTCTGATTGTTCGTTCTGTGTTGAATAAAAGTCCGAAGTCCCTATGTTGAAAAACAAAACAGTTAATCAAAAATTGCAACAAGAGTAGCGAATACATTATTTTATCTCTTTAAGGGATCATTGATTGATTATTTGTTGTTTTTCTTAAATAAATATCGTATTCAACTACTCCTTGAGGTTCCAGCAATTTTACATTGTGTTAATTTTTTTGAAAACCTTGTGTCACAAATATGAGCACTACCAATGGCATCCATGATATGCAACACTTGTGTCTATAATTATTTTACCTACCTAAAGAAATCAACAATAAGATTACATAGGTGTTAAATATCGTACTAAATTGAAAGTCGACGCGCAAATCTAAAAAGATTAACTTCAAGTTTTTGAATTCTTCCTTTCGAAGGTGATATAAAATAAATAATTAATTAGATAAATTCATAATTTTAATTCTAACTTCATTTATTTTATTTAGCATTTAACACAAATATGATTTCCAAACAAAAGATAAGTTCCATATCTCTTTAATTACATAATTGAATGCATTATATTTATTTGGCAGTTATTATTATTTGGCAACAACCAAGTAGAAGAGTTACCACACCACGCTAAATTTTATTGCTGGATGCCGGCTAACAAAAGCCTGTAACCTTTTCGGGTTGCCAATTTCTAGCATTTAACATGCAGTCTGTGACGATAAGCTATATTGTCTGTGGTGTTAGTGAACGAATTTTCAGTTCGAGGTAAATGATGCTATATATCGCACGTATTTATATTATTTATTGTATATAAAAATATTATGACGCAAAGCTACAGTGGAAGATATACTGAAACGAAGGGAAATACACGTTATTTTTTATTCATAATGAATTAATATGTACTCGTATATTATATGTGTGAAAGTTTATAAATATAATTCAGTTGTATCTTAAAATTTTTTAATATTACCTAAACTTAATATATTTTTTTACCACAGATGTAAACACAAATAAAAAAATGTATGCCTATATCATTTAAAACTACTCATATTGAGATAGTATATCATCTATAAAATCATAATAGATAGATACGTTGGTGAATAAAACGATATGATGACATTTTTTTGGTTCCTCAGAATAACTTGCACTGGCAATTCCGTAAATGTAGTACCGGTGGTCCTCAGGATTTTTGACAACAAAGCCTTTACCAGTATCTCCTTGACACAAGTTAGTCTGGTATTTGGTTCCGGCGCAAAACTTATCTTCCTCATAGTACTTCTCTGCAAACTCTGATGGCAATTCCTGCCTGCAAATTGCATCCTCCCTGTATGGAATTTTCAGCAACTCTTGTTTATCCTCTGCTTTGTACTTTAACGTCTGCAGACAAGAAAAAAGAGTAGTATTGCTCACACTTAATAAAATAATACCTTACCACTCCTATATCTCCTGGGTGTAAACGGATATTATCGACGTCAGTAAAGCATATAGGTTGAACAAAATTATTCAAAGTAAAAGGTTTCTTTATTACTATAATGGCAATGTTAGCAAAATAACGTCTGGTATCTCCCTTGTAATTTTTATGAAGAATAATATTGGACACCTACAACAGAATTACAATTTTTAAGATTTCAAATTAATCTGCATAATGCGATTGTTATTACTTCTGAATATTGGGCGTGAACATCCCTGGAATCATTATAGTTGGGGTAAATTTTACCGGCTCCAATCAAATAATCTTCCTCTGAGTTTACTTGTCCTTTATAACTTGACAAACAAGAAGCTCCTAGATATAATAAACACATATTAATTTTAGTAAAAAATTTAATTGAGAAAGGAAAGGTAGGCTTGCTACAGACATGCTGGGGCAGCGCCAGATTCTCGAGAACCGACACGTTCCCTTTAGACAGGCGATCGAACGTCGACTTTGACCACTTGAAGTTATGAACAAGTACCTGGCCAGTGTAAAGTACGTAAATTTAAATTTGCGAACTTAGAACCAATATTGTCAATATTACAAATGTTACCTAATGCTGTTATTTGTATACTAGTACTTCTTGAAACGCATTATTTTGTTGCTTGTACAATTGACAACCAAAACAAATGCTTTATTAATTTCGCTTCTAAGCTAGCCAGCACTCCCGCTACTAGGTTAAGTTAGAAACTGTTTAATGTTTAATTTGAAATTATTTCTAAGACTCCACGTATCTTAATTAAAAACGACATGTTAATTAACTTGCCTCCTTTCAAAAATTGGAGCCATTACATACTATTTAGGTTTGTAAGACAAACAAGTGGCCGCTCAGATAACATCGACTTACCAGCTACAATAACTTTATGGGAAATTAGTGATCCTCCACAGTTGTACATATATTTCGTCAAACCAGACTTATTTGTAATTTTGTAAATATTAATATTCCAAGGAAATTCTAATAGTCCTTCTGCTGTGTCTTCCGCATTCAGTGTATTGGATACATTGCCTTTTCTACCGCAATCTAAAGAGGAAACGAAATATGTTAAATTTCCAATACATAATTTTGAGTGTCATTGTTTTTGAGTTGTTGTGCCATGGTTTGTGTACCTGATGGCTGGCAGTTACAGTGCGTTACCTTAGCCTTAGCTAGAAATATTTGACATGTCTTTGTTGTTCTCGGGATAGGTTTTGTGGGCGTGGAACCGCTATAAAAATCAACAAGAGTCTGCAATTCTGGCGGATCCGCCCTCACAGAACGCATTCTAACGTCAAAAAGGACATGACAAAGATTCCCAGCTAAGACTACAGAAATGCATTGTAAGCTGTAACTGGCACCCGAAAAACCATGATATTTTTTTAATATATTGTACTGATTATCAGGTAACTTACTTCTAATGGATTGCAAGCATTCTGGCTGAGGCAATCCCCAAGACCCCATTGAACAAGTTCTGTTATTGGTTCTACCAGTACCATCAGCAATTTTGTATGCTTTGGGACAACTGTACCCTAGCGTAGATCCCTCGACAGCTTCTAGACAGTCGATGGCTTGTCCCGCTTTGTTGGTGCACCAGTAGTTAGACCCATTACGAAAATTCAGCGCTGGGCATAGAGCTAAAGATTGTAAATCACGTTATAAATTAATATTTCCAATGGAGATAAATGACTTCATGCTGCAATTAGCCATGGATAATAAAATGTTTCCTGTTTAAATACAATGGTACTGATTTTCCTGATACTGATCCTGATCCAAAGTACTCAGTTGCTTTAAAATTATGAGGTGTTAAAAATCATGTTAAAAATGTTTGTCTATTCTAAGTTCTCGAACTTATGGAACTCACAGAACGTTGTTGAGACAGTAAGCTTTGGAAACATTTTAATGTCCACAACTGTACCTACGTTGGCAAACTGGCATATTGTGAGTGGAACCACAGTTGATATTCGTCGAAAGAGACGTCAACTTAAATCCTTTGTTGCACTCTATGTTTAAGACAGTACTCAATGAAACGGCATCTCCTGGTTTTAAGCCTTGCTGCTGAGTTGTCCATTTGCCGTTTTGAGGATGAGCTGGCAGAACACAATCCTTGATTGTCGGCGCATAAGTGGTCAACAGACGATCGATGTATTCGTAGTAGAAGGCCACTTTGGTGTAGAGAGTATTGTGTTGGATGTCACACTGGCCATTTCTTTGAGGGCCCAAGCTAACAACGCCGTGGATGTAGTACCTGTTGTCTTCCAGATTCACGAAGGTTAAACCGTTACCGCTGTCGCCGTCACATACGCTGGTGCTTTTGTTAGAAAAACCCGCGCAAATTTTGTCTACAATGTTGAACGTAGTCGTAAATTCTTTAGGCAGCTCCTCAGCACAGGTGGCACCGTCTTTATAGGGGATATTCAACGTTCGCAAAATTTCTGATGTATCTTCATCCTCTGTCCTTCCCCATCCAGATACCTAAAAAGTTTTGTTTTCGGACAAATATACTACAAACACAGGATGTCCGGTAAACACGTACTAGTATCTACTACTTCCTATAATTTTTCCCCTAATCTTCTTTATGACGGGGATATCCGCCGTGAAAGGGGTACCTAAAGACTTCCGTTTTGGGTTATAACTTTAAAACCATTTTGTATATCTTGATACAATTTAGGCGTAGTGTCCATGATTTGTTGTTAAAAACGGTCTTTCGATATTTCGAGATATGCCCCCAACACATACTTTTTAAAAAATTGACAGATTTTTGTTTAAAGACTCGTTTATTTCGGTAAAACAAACGATTTTCTAAACAAATCGGTTATTCGAACAATAATAGCAATTGCCACAAGGACAAAAACAACTTGAGCTTAACTTTTACGTATTTATAAATTATTTCATGCATATAGTTTATTCCACTTTATTTAAAAAACCAAAAACCTTTGAAATAACTTAAAAGAAACAAATTAATTCATTTACTAGACAACTGTTCAAAATGAGCGAATGCACGATTGTGCACCACCCCATTTCCCGCATTTAGTGTGTCAATACGTTTAGTGACTGATAATGTAGATCGACATGGACCTACTTTATGAACAGCTAAGTGACCCGACCTTAAACTATTTAGAGCTAGGTATGAATACAAAAAATTGATTCAATATGTACATGAATATTGTTGAAATATCTTTTAAGAAATTTAATATGATTACTCCCGCAGTCAAACATTTTGAAGCTATCTTTGAATCTAATTTCCACTTTTCTAATTTATTATATATATATTTATTTTTAATTTAATTTAATTTAATTTAATTAATTTATTATTAAAAATGTGGAAATTAGATTCAAAGATATAATTTTAATTCCAAAGAACGATTTTTTATATTTTCTATTTATAATTGTACTTTAAGAAACAATTTGGAAAAATATTTAGTTCAAAACACTAACGTCTATCTAACCTCATACTAAATTTACAAACATTATTTCGATTTATTTCTTTAGTCTTTAATTTGCCCTCTTCTTTCTTGAGCAACTGTGTATGTTGCTTTTCCCTGGTTCTGTATGTTAGAGCCGATGGGTATTTTAAAACCAATGGTCCGTTCTGTTTGAGCCACGCTGTATTTCGTATTTCCTATCCACTGGTCCTGATTGAGACACTCTCGGTAATTTGTATTCACTTATCTTGTGCTGTAGGTAAGGCGACGACACTTCACAATTATTGATATCTTGCACGTGTCTAATTTCTGGTTTATTTACTATTTGGAAACACTCATTTGATCTTTGACAGCTGGCGAGATTACTTAGTCGAGGGTTTTTCCCTGAGATTATTGTTATAATAACTTCTTGATAACCTTTTTGATTGATTTAGACTTGACTTTTTCACCTTCCTCACCTTTATTTTTACATTTACTTCATTTTGATTTATATATCTGCACTATGAAGTTTTTTAAGTTATTTTACAATACAATCAAATTTATTAATTTATTTCAGCTTCAATTTTAACTTATTTTTAAAAAATTTCATATTTTTTTTATATACAGGGTAATTCAGAACTTATCCAAAGAAAATCTGGATGTACAGGGTAAAGAAAAAATCAAAAAGGGCAGTTCGAAAATGATTTGAAAATACACTTCTGCACGGCACTGGAAACTGGTCCACTGTAAAACCTGACCTCGCACAATGCGACCGGCATGGCTGTGTGATAAAAACGGACAAAAACTTCCGCAAGGAAAGAAATATGTAAATAGAATTTTATCGCATCTATTTTATATCGGCAAATTCAACTGCTTTTGCCTTTATTAATTAATAAAATTAATTTGTGTTTTTAAATAATAAAATCATTTGACGTACCCGATGTTACAACAATTATTGTTCAAAATGTGTAAACACATTTGGGTCCGTTGTACTCAGTTTCTACGAACTAACACAAATGTTGTCTTGCTTCACCATAACACAAATACTTCACCATAAATTAAAACGATATCCATCAACTCCGAGTTGCTATACCTACACGCAAACCATTTTTGACACTAACTACCCATTTCTGACACTAACTACTAAAAACCTTTTGTAAACACCACAGATAACAGGTAAATAAATACTATCGCAACGACGATTGCAAAATCCGATTTCAGTATTCGGAGTCGCTGAGACCACGTGACGAATGATGCTAGAGACTACAGTTGTCCAGCTATGTAGTGGTTGAATGTACTATAACTTCAATATTTTTTTTCTAGGAAACTATAAGGATTTTACAAAATTTTGTTTACGATATTGATTCCATTTCTCATGCTGCATATATTCCCAAATTTTTTTGGATAAGTTGTGAATCACCCTGTATGGTACCCACTATTACTAAATTTGTTATGTCTTTATTTGTTTTCAGATTTATTGCAGAGTACTGATGTAATCTTAACTGAAATCATGTAGTGATAAGCCAGTTTAGTCTTTTTGTTATGGAAACTTTTTTACATGATGTTTTAGAAAATTTTTGGTAATTTCTATATCCCATGTCCAGTAATAGGATTTCTGTTCTAATCTTTGTTTTTGTAATAATAAAATACCCGTTTTAATATCTTATCACACAGTGTTATTCCTCAAAATTTTATCAAATATACAAGGTGGTTTCAAAGTTACCGATATTTTGTATATTCATAATTTATTAGGAAAAAAATATATAGGAAGTCTTACAATTAGTGTTATTCTAACCTATTTTATACGTCCCTGAGAGATTAATAGATATTTACCGGACACCCTGTATAAAAATATAGAATGTAATCTGAATGATTACCTTTCCTATGCTTCCTGGGTGTAAGTAAATTGTTTTCATATTGTTAAAACACACTGGCTGTACTAATGAGTTCAGAACAAATTCTCCTTTTGTGACCAAGACAGCTATGTCCGCCAGGAAGAGTCTACTAGCACCTTTAAAATCTTCATGGACAATGATCTTGGAAAGCTATAACATCAAATTGAATATATTGTGAGGAAAACAAAAATTGTCGATTCAAATAGATCATTATGTCTCTATTTTAATAGGGCAATTTTTTTATTTTAATATTTGTTTTACACACATACAGGGCTGGAAAATCCACATGGTCCATCTGCCTTTACATGAGAGCCACAAAGTAAAGTAAAGAAATCCGTGCGATAGACAAGAATGGCTATAGTGAAGACGTTTCATAGTCTGAATAGTCACCGCCCGTTTCGGGTTAGAAGTGGGAGTGACTATTCAGATTATGAAACGTCTTCAATGTAACCATCCTTGTCTATCTTACGGATTTCTATGACTTTATCGCTCTCACGTAACGGCCGATGTACCATGGGGACTTTCCGAACCTGTATATTGTTATTTTTCACATTGCCTCAATGGACTTGTATGGCTTACTATATTTGCATTCTATTCTACTATCTATTACAAACTATGTCAGTGACATTTCTTACAATGTGACAAAGCCGTATTGTCACTAGATTTAAGTGAATATTAAAAAAATGCTTCTTGTTTACCATCAAATACTGCGCACGTGTGTCCTGGGAAGCATTATGCTTGCTATATAATTTTCCAGCACCAATGAGAAAATCTTCTTTATTCAGAGTGTCGCCATAATCGTTCGTGACACAATGGGCAGCTAAAAAAATATATTACATTGTTGATGAGATAAATTTATGTACTTATACTGTAAAAAAATTTCACTCAATTTTCACTCAATTCTACACAATCAATTTCTATCCTTAGTTTCTAGTTTTATTCAAATCCAAGTTACTGCTAACTATCAGTAGTTGGGTGATTTTTTACTCTATTCTGAGTATATATAGGCCAATCATTATAGCTTTTTTTCGGGGAAAAAATACTATTAGAAGTTTCTCTACGGAATATTGTTCAGAAACGTGTTATAAACAAAATATCAAAAAATCAACTCGAGACTAGTTGGGAAACTTTGTTAAAACAATGGTCAAAATTATGGGAAAGTAGTTTTTCGACTGGCGTAAAATAACTGTTATTCATAGAAAAAAAAAAGGTTTATACAAAAAAGGTAGGTATTAAATAAATCTGTAAAATACGACAAGTCCGATTAAATTCCGATAATTTGTTATGCGCAAGAGCTCAAAAATGGTCGAAATTGTCCGCTTTTTTAAATTGCTAATAATTAATGCAATTTTCATCGCAGACTCTTGTAATTCAGGAGTTTTTAAGCTTTTTGCACCCTTAATAAGTGGTAAAAATTTCAACCCAAAAACTTCATTAGCTTGGCGTTGGCGGAATTTGTTATCTAAGAAGATACTATTTTCAATTAATTTTTCCCAAGCTCACAGGCGTTGTAGGGTTTCGATCATTAGTTATTTTTGTACCTAAATAGTTGTATTGACATATGCATTTACTGATAATTTAATTTTTCAAATTTAATTTGTTTAAAAATGACTTTGAAAAACGCGCATGCTAAACCTCGCCTTCCCCACTCTTTCGCTAGACCAAGTAATAGAACGCATGGCCGCTATCTTCTTTTTCGAAATTAAATAGTTGAATTCACCTTAATGTTAATGTCCAAATTTTGGCTCTTAATATTAATAATTAAGGTCACTGCGATTAAATAAATAAAAAAAAATTATCTCAGCTTCTAATCAACTTACAACAACGATTTTTTTTTTAAATTTGAAGAAAACTAAAGTAAAGAGGTTACTATTTTATTTTATAATAATTACCTATCTTAACAATTTAATAAATATTAACATTTTTTCAAAGTCAATTTTAAACAAATTAAATTTGAAAAACTAAATTCTCAGTAAATGCATATGTCAATACAACTATTTAGGTACAAAAACAACTAATGATCGAAACCCTACAACGCCTGTGAGCTTGGGAAAAATGAATTGAAAATAGCATCTTCTTAGATAACAAATTCCGCCAACGCCAAACCAATGAAGCTTTCGAGCTGAAATTTTTACCACTTATTAAGGGTGTAAAAAGCCTCAAAAATCCTGAATTACAAGTGTCTGCGATGAAAATTGCATTAATTATTAGCAATTGAAAAAAACGGCAATTTTCGACCATTTTTGAGCTCTTGTGCATAAACAAATTATCGGAATTTAATCGGACTTTTTTCATTTTATAGGCTTATTTAATACCTACCTTTTTTGTATAAACTTTTTTTCGCTATGAATAATAGCTTTTTTACGTGAGTCAAAAAACCACTTTTCCATAACTTTGACCACTGTTAAAACAAAGTTTCCCAACTAGCCTCGAGTTGATTTTTTGATATATTATTTATAAAAGGTTTCCGAACAATATTCCGCAGAGAAACTTCTAATAGTATTTTTTCCCCGAAACAGGCTCTTTCATGTCTATAATGACTGGGCTAATAAACCCAATTTAGAGTTCACTTTTTCTCTAATATGCTTTAAATTTAACTATTATTGAGTCATTTTTTACTCAGACTTGGTTTTTAATTAACGAAATATTGAGTGCAAAAATAAATCTCTCATAAATGATTAATTGGGATATAGTGTTGAAATTAATTAGACGCTATACACCGTGTTCTGCAAATGATGAACTGTCCAATTAGGAGAGATATTGTGAAAATAATCTAGATTTTTTTTGATAGTAGGTATATATTAACCCTTGAAGTTAAGAGACGAAAATCGGTATTTTGTAATAACTTTTTTGTTATTTATTAAATTTGTATAATTTTTGGGTAAAAGCCATGCTATTTGAGATTAGGTCTACTAATGTGTACAGTTTACCTAATAAATGCTTCCAAATCTTGAAATTTTAATTTAATTATCATACAAATAGGTACGTAATTATAGATAACAATTTAACTATCCGTTTATTTAACCAAATATTAATCGAGATTTAATGCTATAATTCTGATAACTCTGAACTAATATCCGAGAAGCGTAATTAATTTCTAACTAACCTGTCAAGGCGACAGTCAAGCTTAAAATGGATCCCCCGCAGATATATTCGTAAGAATTGTTCTCTTTGATGTAAAGTGCAACGACCCAAGGATACTCTAGTACGTTATTGGGCTTAGATCCAGCAATAAGTGGTTTTGCGTTGTCAATTATCTTTTTTCCACATACTGAAACGTGAGAAAGATTGAAAGTATCGAATTAACTAATATTTTATTAAACTATCAAGCGGCAATGGTACATACCTGGGTGGCACATAGGCTTTTGGCTCCATTTTCCGTCTCTACAAAGCAGTGTCCTCTTATATCCAAATGGTGTTTCATATGAAATTGCACAGGTATACTCCACGTACGACCCTTCAGTGGCTTCATTGCACTGGATTTCTAGCCCTGTTTTATCTCTACACCTAAGTTGATATGTAGTCGAACGGTATAAAGGAGGACACAGTTCTAAAAGCAATACAAATATGCGTATCTAAGTAGATACAGATAATGCACCACTATAAACCATTATAAGTAAATCTTAAGATTAACAAACCTGATTTTGTTGATGATATACATTCATATGTTCAAATATTCACTTACTGTTACACTCAGGTTGTTCCGAAAACCGGTTGTCAAAACATACTGCGAACGGTTGATTTTTGGACAGCTTGTAGCCTGAGTTGCACTCGAACCTTATGACGCTATTTTTCAATATTTTATCTCCAGGTTTGGCTTCACCGCCCAGGAGTTTCCATTGTCCGTGCTCTGGATAAGAAGGAAGAACGCATCTAAATAGAACGATTTGTTAGTAAAGATAATGTTTGCGCTACAGGTTCTTTGCTCACCCTTCTTCTTTGCTCTGTCGACGATGACGAGTCTGATTTAAGTTGACAAGACCTGTCACTTGTAAAGCACCTGTGGAATTTACCGCCAATGTAATAATAAAGTTAAATCACGGCCCACTTTGGGATATATCATGAATATTTCAAATAAAATTTAATGATGGAAAACAATTCTTAATACTTCGATATTAAAGAGTGAAATTTTCGTTTCATTAATTTATCTATTAAAATTTTGTTTCCTGGGAGAAATAAATATGATTTTAAATACTCACCAATAACAAACGACAGATGAACCAGAGCAATAACCCTATTGCATTGTTGCATTGTGTAGTTTAGAACCAGCTGTTAATAGTAGGTATTTCACCTCTACAAATTCATCCTCGTTTATTAATATCTTACCTAATTTGTGTTTAACCGAAAGAGATACAAGTTCCCAGTAACATATCACAAATAAATATTCCCACTGACGTAGCTCGAAGAGAGCACATATGCTCGTTTCAAGGTTATACAGTACGAGTCAAGCTAAAGCAGATTTATCTATCTTACATCTGAAAATGCCAAACTATGAAAGAAAGTTGATTATTTTTAGATTATCTATAATTTACTCGTTGTAAAAATACGTCTAATGTTATCTAAATAAGACGAAACCTGAGACTATATATACAGGGTGTCTCAAACTCGATAGTATGGGCCTACTGTGACGATACAAATAAATTATATAAAATTGGAGCAGTTGGTGTTAAATGGGATGAGGTAGACTCCATTTCCAATCGAAAGTATTATCTTTAGAATTTGACAGAAACGACTAATGCCGTCATCAATTATATTTTTTCCAGAAATATACCCAATTTTTTTTCTGTTGAAAAGCTCGTTTTTTCTAATAAATTTTTATTAGAGCAATTTCCCGTTTAAAAGTTAAAGAGTATCAAAAGAAATACTACATAAAAATCACATTAGCGGTGGAAGGATCAAGTAGTCGTTGGAAAAGAATTGAATGTTCGTTGTTTAAAATGCATAAATGTCATTAAGAATAGTTCCTGCAACAGAATGGCTAAATACTATTTATCCGCAACGTTGAATTGGCTGGGAGGAATAACATGAATCATGACGTGGTTAATGGTATTGGACTAGTGACCTCGCCACCCAGGTCACCGGATCCTAATCCACTGGACTTTTATGTTTGGGGAAATGTAAAAGATAAATTTTAGGCTACTCCAGTATTACCAAAAGATCATTTAGTTTTAACGATTCAGCAAGCCTGCAATGATATGCGGCGAAATCCAAATAGTACAGTCATTGACGCTTTTCACCTCCGAATTCTTTGAAACTGAACCGATCGACTTGAAATTTGGCGGAAAGTTAGAGAAAAGGTCAATGAACAGAGAATTTTTTCGAGAAATCAATAGTTTTTTAGTTATTCACGATTGAAAACTTGTAATTATGAGTGAAAAAAGAACACTTTTTCAAAGTATTTTTCGCGAATAACTCAAAAACTACGTATTTTACTAAAAAATGCGTAATAAACAAAAATGTAGCTTATAAATAAACAAAGAAAATCGTTTTTTAAAAAGTGTTATACGTCCTATACAAAGCGAAATATGGTTAGTTGAAAGGGACTTGTTTTGGGGGAATACTCGAATCGATGTATTCAACGTCAAATAACGGAAAAAAGATTAATTTGACGTGTATACCGCTCCGGGAGTTTTTTGTAGCACTCAAAAAGACCTTCAAAATGAGCACTTATAAAAGTTAATTAGAAAAAGTTAGAAGTTAGACCGGATTAGAATGCGTATTTTTTGAATAATGTACGGTAAAAGGTGAAAACGTATTTTTCATTATTAAAAAAAATTGCCTTATTTATATAATAATTCTGAAACTATGAAAGATACGTAAAAAATGATAGACAACAAAAATGTAGCTTTTTTTTCAACAAATATTTTGCTTTTTTAATCCTATAGCATAAAAAATAAAGAAGATATCGCCGCTTGAAGTATCCATTTTAGTGAAAAAACGACCTGTCGAGCCCTTCGATCCTTTCCCTTAAAAAAATGAAGGACTTAAAAGGTTTTATATGAAAACGGTCTTACAGCTCTTGATATGATCTTTAAAATGCTTTTTTGTAGGATACTATAGCTTCAAAATTAACCAAGTTATGGTAAAAAAACCAATGACATTTTTTCGGAGCAAAATAGGCTTTCTCATTTTTATATATTATAATATATTATATTATACAAATAAAATAAGTAAAAAAATTTAGTGTGGTTATTTATATGCAGCGTAGCAACGTTTTTTATGATTGATTATATTTAAAAATCGGTTATAATAAAAATATTTTGCATTAATATTGCTAAAAGGGTAGTTTATAAGAGTTGAAAATGGCAAAAGTAAAATATTCTTTCATAAACAATACAAGGGAATTTTTATTTTAAATTATTGCACAAAAATTAAAGGGTTTTTAATTTTTTTCCTCGAAAACGCTGAGTTGCACAGAAAAATCGAAAGAGAGCTTCTTTCTTCCATATTGAATGAAGATCCAAAACTGATTGTTATTTTATGGAAAAGCAATGGCGTACCAATTTTTTCTTTAGAAGTATGCAATAATGTGCTGATATGGACGCCACTGGTAAAACTAAAAATAATGTTTTTCATTGTGAAACGTACTCCCTCGATGGTAGTTAACGTGTATAAAATTTTATTGGCAGAAGGAAAATATATAAAACATACGAGTATATAAAAATAAAATTAAGGATTATATTTAAAACTGCAACAATACATATTATAATGATATGTCCCTTCTAGAAAATTACTTGAATTAAAATAATATACTAACTAAAACAGTGCCAACTAAACAAACATAAAGAAATATGTTATCGAGTTGATAAAAACAATTAATATTTCTGCACTGAACACTACTTGTAACGAGACAGTATATCATCTATGAAATCATAGTAGAAACGCACGCTGGTGTATAAAACGTCATTGTGGCATTTGTCTTCTACAACAGGGCTTATGCTGACAATTCCATAGACGTAATACCTATTATCTTCAGGATTTTTGACAAAATAGCCTTTGCCACTGTCCCCACGACACAAACTACTTCGGTTGGCATAACCGGCACATATTTTATCGAGAACGTAGTACCTGTCAGCAAAATCCGCTGGCAATTCCCTACTGCAGACTTCGTCCTCCTTGTATGGAATTTCAAGTGCTTCTTGTTTCTCTTCATCCTTATATTTCAGTACCTGGAAAAAAGAAATAAGAGTAAGATTGTACGAACTTAGTAAAAACAATAACGCACCACTCCTACGTTTCCACGTCGTAATAGGATACTATCCACATCAGTAAAGCATACTGGTTGCACAAAACTGTTAAAGGTAAATGGTTTCTTTGCTACGAGCACGGCGATGTCAGCTAAATAACGCCTGCTTTCTCCTTTGTAACGCTGATGAAGGATGATGTGGGTCAGCTGTAACAGAATTAGTGTTATTTCAAAGCGAACATTTGCATAATGCGATTGTTATTACTTCGGAGTATTGAGCGTGAACATCTTTGGGATGATTATATTTGGTGTAAGTCACCCCAGCTCCAATCAAATAATCTTCCTTTTCTTTTACTTCTCCTCTATGATCTGATATACAGGCACCAGCTGCGTATAATCATTGCATATTAATTTTATCAAATAATTTAAATAAGATAATGGAATAATGAAATGATATAAAGAAATTTAACTCGTGTCACTGACCTGTTAAAACAACTTTTTGTGATATTAATGACCCTCCACAAACGAACGTATAATCTTTCAAAGGAGAATTGTTTTGTTTCTCATAAATATTAACATTCCAGGGGTGTTCCAGTCCCTCCTCCGCTTTCCCATCAGACGTCAGTGCATTGGAATTGGTAATGACTTTTTTACCGCAAGCTAAAGAGAATTCAAATTAGAAGTAATAAGGGTTTTATTTCGTGTTAGAGATAACTTACTTTTGATGGGTCGCAAGCATTCCGGCTGAAGCAATCCCCAAGATCCATTTATGCAAGTACTATTATTAGTACCCTCAGCAGGTTTGTATCCTCTAGGGCAATCGTACCACAACTTAGATCCATCGACAGCTTCTGCACAGTCAATAGTCTGCCCTTTTTTGTTGGTGCATCGATAATTAGATCCATTTTGAAATTTCAGTTCCGGACACAGTGCTGAAGATTAAAACAAAGGAAAGTTGATTAAAATTTCTTCTAAAATTCAATTGTTTACTTACATTGACAAACTGGCATATCGTGAGCGGAACCACAGTTAATATTGGTTGAGACTGATGATAATAAGAATCCCTTGTTACATTCTAATTTCAGGACAGTGCTCGATGGAACAGCATCTCCTGGCTTCATGTCCTGTTTCTCAGTTGTCCATTTGCCGTTTTTAGGATGAGCTGGTAGTACGCAATCTTTAACTGTCGGCGCATACGCATTCAGAAGACGGTCGACAAATTCATAGTGGAAAGCTACTTTGGTATAAAGGGAATTTTGTTGGATGTCACAATGGCCATCTCTTAGAGGTCCCAAACTGACAATGCCATGGATGTAGTACCTGTTGTCTTCCGCATTCAAGAAGGCTAAACCGTTCCCGCTGTCGCCGTCACATACACTTGTGCTTTTGTTGAACAAACCGGCACACAGTTTGTCTACGATGCTATACTTATTCACCCATTCTTTAGGCAGCTCCTCAGCACAGGTGGCATCGTCTTTATAGGGAATCTTCAGCGTTCGCAAAATTTCTGATGTATCATCATCCTCTGTCCTTCCCCATCCAGATACCTTAAAAGTTTTTGAACCAACAAGTTACGATGGAATAAATATTGATTGTAATGTGAGTACCTCTCCTATGCTTCCTGGATGTAAATAAATGCTCTTCATATTGTTAAAACAAACTGGTTGTACTACTTCAGTCAGAACAATTTCTCCTTTCACAACTAAGACCGCTATGTCTGCCAAGAAGCGCCTATTGTCGCCTTTATAGTCTTCATGGACAATTATCTTGAAAAGCTGCAACATGAAAATATTGTACGAAGAGAACTAAAATTGTTGATTCAGTCGAATCAACATGTTGGTTTTTTCTCAAGGCCTGTAATATTTTATTTGCTACAATAAAAAAGTGCTAGGATTAAGTAAATATAAAGGAAGGCCTGCTGTTTACCTCTAAATACTGAGCACGTGTGTCATTAGAAGCTTTATATTCGCTATACAATTTTCCAACACCGATAAGATAAAGTTCTACAGGCAGAGTGTTTCCAAATTCGTTTGTTACACAATGGGCAGCTAAAAATAAAATTTACATACAATAACAAATAAATACATTTTTTAAGGTAAACGGATATTTAAGTTTACTATTTCCAATTTTTATTAATAAAAGAATAAACTATTGGAAACGTTTCGAATATCTACTTCAAACTAACCTGTTACAATCACAGTCAAGCTTAAAATAGATCCTCCGCAAATATAGCTGTAAGAATTGTTGTCTTTCCGGTAAAGTGCTGTAACCCATGGATATTCTAGTTTCTTACTGGGCGCAGACCCAATAATCAGAGGTTTTGCACCATTGATTAATTTTTTCCCACAAACTGAAACGAGATGAAGATTTAGAGTATTATATTGCATATTTTTATTAAGATTTTATCAAATTGTTAAGAAATGACGCACCTGGATGGCACACGGGTCTTTGGTTCCATTTTCCTTCCGTGCAAAGGAGTGCCTTCTTGTAACCAAATGGAGTTTCGTAGGAAGATGCGCAGGTGTACTCCACGTACGTTCCATCAGTAGCTTCGCTACATTTGACTTCCTTTCCTCTTTTGTTTTTGCATTGTAATTCGAACGTGGTTGAAGGGTACAATGGAGGACACAATTCTAAAAACAATTTACAAATATGTCCATATAGAAAAAAAATGAGAGGATTGCGTTTGATGGGTCAGAAATCAGTTAATTTTTCATACGATACTATTACTTACTATCACATTCAGGAAATCGCATGTTAACCCAGTTTTCATCGCAGACGCGATATGCATATTCAGAAGACAATCTGTATCCAGAGTCGCACTCGAACTTTATAGCACTGCTTTGCTTTATTTTATCCCCAGGTTTGGCTTCACCGTTCAGAAGTTTCCACTGCCCGTGCTCCGGATAATAAGGAAGGACACATCTAAAAGGATTTGTTCGTAAATATGACGCTTTCGCTACAAGATTTTTGCTTACCCTTCTTCTTGGTTTTGTCGACGATGGCGAGTCTGGAATAAGTCCACAAGGGAAGAACCTGTCACTTCTAAAGCACCTGTAATAAATTATATCCATTTTGTAACAATTATCTCTAAATGTAATGAATTTATACTACAATATTGCACTTTTTAGAAACAACAAGAACAATTTAAGTCACCGTGCCAACTCCATTTCCTAACAAATAGAACCGTAACCAGTCTTTCTGATCACGTGGTATGGTCACCACATACTCTTGAAAGACTGAATTATCGGAGATATTTATTACCTACTTCGTTTAGTTTAATTTTAATAGTTCATATCATTCTAGTCCAATTTGATATCTTTACTTTTTTCTCATTTGTATAAATGATGCGTCAATCAAATTGTCAGTGCATTTACTTTTTGTCGATGATTTAATAATATTTTTACTGATTAACTTTTTCGTTGTTTGTATTAAAATGTTAAGTTAAAAAGATCTAGACCTTTTTCACTATAAAAATTGGACTGGATGTCTCATATGTAAGCCATCTGAGCTTCTGCATAAAATTGAATATTTAAATTAAAAAATTAGAATTGCTTTTGGCGCAGGGCGAAGCATACAATTTTGAACGCAATATTTTCCGCTTTTCCCATCTTTGGATAGAAAACCAAATCCAAAACTAACTCTTAAATGACCTCTAAATTTGATCCCAGTTACAATTAGACCATAAATCAAGACGACGGTAGTTTGTACGGAATTTGCCATAAAAATTAATCAACCTTTCCCATAAAATGTAAACGGAAAGCTAATTTGATGGACCCTCTGACCTGGGATCAAGCATACATCTTTCATCCATCCATTTCCGGATAAAACAAATGGAGTTTGAAGTTGACCTCCAAAAGACCAATAAGTTTGACCTCTGGGTCAAAATCAAGGTCATTATCGTACGACCCCCTTTCAACCCTACAACTTTTATTCCCGAAGTTTTTCAATTGGATTACAAAGTTTTTCGGGCTGACGATTCAAATGGGGCACCCTGTATAATTGTATTGCATGTGTTGTTTTATTGTACATTTATAGGTCCTACCACTGCAGAAATTATTTCGTTATAATGTATAGTTTCTTTATTCATAACGCCAAAAAACTATTTTAGATAGTCCTGAAGATGCCACATTGAATAGAAAATTTGTGTTTTCTTAAACTCCTATTTAGCCAGAAATCCCATCGTACTACTAACTATATGTATACTCATAGGCGCCGACTTTTAAAACTTTTGTCGGGTGCTCGGTTGCCTTATAAGCATTTTTTGCCAGATAACATTAAAAAGAAAGAGAAATGAGCCGTCATTTGAGATAGCATGAGGTAAAAGATTTAAAATACGTATTTTTCCGAATTAGATTTTATGAAAAACTTTTTAAAAAATATATCGAAATTAATTAAACTTATAAATAATAATAAAACATAAAACATAATAAATAAACTTTATTATTGTTTCGATACAAATTTAAAAAATTTAACAATCTTAATAATTTTAACAAAAAATAAACTTATATGGAATAACAAGTGAAAATATAAATATACAGGGTGGCCAAATGAAAGCGAAACAGAGCCATTTCCAGGAACTGCGTCAAGATTGTAGAAAAACGCTCAGACCCGTCGATTTTAGATTAAAGGGGGACATTCTTTGCTGGTATTTTTGACTCCGCCACTTTCACCCCCAAGCAAGAGTAAGCATCACCCCAAAATATTTAAATGGCATTGGGCGTTGAGTCATATTTACTTTGAAAGCTCTTACAATTCTCTTTTCAACAGACTTTAAATTTTATAATTCCGCCCAATGCTTATTAAGAATTTTGATTTTGAAAGTTGAAACTTATGTACAAACAACTAGTAACGGTAAAAACGTCAGTCATTTGAGTTAAGTACGCCAATGGTATAAATTTAGTATTTTTGCGTTATATTGTTTTTTGGCGATTTGTTATCATTATCGTAAAAAAACCACAATTGTAAAAAACAGAAATGAATGCTAGTATTATTTGGAAGCGTTGATTGGTAACTTATTTAATTGTGTTTTTGAAAATTAAACACTATGGTTTATTCCATTGCGGAAAGGGTAGATATCATTTCGCTTTATTTTATGAACAATAAATGTGCGAATAGAGCAGCTCAGATATTTAATGAACAACATGAAGATCTACATGTCAGGAGGAAGTATATTATAGAGTTAGTAAAAAAATTTCAAGAGACAGGGAACGTAGCCAATAAAAAACGAGAAATTGAAAAACCTATAGTTAATGAAGCTAGTGAAGTTGCAATTTTGGGACAAGTTCATCTTGATCCTACATTAAGTACGAGGCAGCTGACATCTGTGTCTGGGATCAATCGAACTAGCATACAAACCATTTTGAAGAAGAATAAATTCCATCCATACAGAATACATTTAGTCCAGGAGGATGATTATGACCGCCGTTTGCAATTTTGCGAAATAATGTGTGAGTGAGCAGGAAACGATCCACAATTCCTTTTTAACATCTGTTTTTCTGATGAATGCAGTTTTTTCTTGAACGGGACAGTAAATCGTCATAATTGCCGCTATTAGTCCGATTCAAACCCAATAGTTTTTCACGAGGTGCATACACAGCAACCTGAAATATTAAATGTATGGGCGAATTTTCGGTGACCGGCTGGTGGGTCCTTTTTTTCTACCTGGTAATTTGACTAGCCAAATGTATTTGCAATTACTGGAAGACGCTATTGACCCAGCTTTGACTGATATTATTGAAAATGTTCCAGAGTATGAAGATCATTTGATTTTTCAACAGGACGGTGCTCCTCCGCATTATGCGTTAATTGTCCGTCAGTATTTGGACCAACGTTTTCTGCGGAATTGGATTGGGAGAAGAGGCAGCATTGAGTGGCCTCCACGATCACCGGATTTATCGCCTGTTGATTTATTTTTGTGGGGATACCTAAAAAGTAAAATCTATAAACGAAAACGAATGCCGTCGAATCACTCCGGAAATGCTTCGGAATGTGCGCGAACGTATCGAACAAAATCTTTATTCTTGTATGGAAGCGGACGGTCATCAGTTTGAACATTTAATCAACAACAAAAGTAGTAAGAGCAACTAAACATAATTTAAATTTTAAAATGTAAATTTTTTTAAAGTATTGGGCGGAATTATAAAATTTAAAGTCTGTTGTAAAGAGAATTGTAAGAGCTTTCAAAAGAAATATTACTCAACCCCCAATGCCATTTAAATATTTTGGGGGGTGAAAGTGGCGGAGTCAAAAATACCAGCAAAGAATGTCCCCCTTTAATCTAAAATCGACGGGTGTGAGCGATTTTTAACTTTATTTTACAATCTTGACGCAGTTCCTAAAAATGGATCTGTTTCGTTTTCATTTGGCCACCCTGTATGTACTACGTAGACGTAAAAAACTGATAATAATTCTTGCGGGTGCTCCGCACCCGACAAATACTTTTGTCAGGTGCTTGAGCCCCGGAGCACCCGAGAAGTCGGCGGCTATGTGTATACTTATATGATTAATTCTATAACAAAGTATTTACATTTGAGTTTTTTAATAAAATATGTGCAAAGCAATCGCATTCTACAATTTTCAACTTCCAAACAACGTTTAATTATAGTAATAATATTTATTAATGTTTTTAAATAGGTACTTACCGATACCAAATGATAGATAAACCAGAACAACCACCATGTCACATTTCTGCATTATGCACTTTAGATTTAACTATGTTTATGATCTCTAGAAACGCATTGTACTTTGTTAATATCTTGACGATTACTGGTTTAACCTGAGCTTGACCGAAAGGGATACAAGTTCGTGGTAACGTATCGCAAATAAATAATTCCCAGTGACGTAGCGTTGAATATCCAACAAGAATATCTAGTAAATTCAAGGTTATATTAAAAATTTTGCCATTTTGTTATTTTTAGGTCAATAATGCGAATTTATTCGAAACATATTATACCGTTTTATCAACTGTTGAATTAAAAGTGGTTTAAAATTAAGACCCAACAAAAAATCATTTCTATTATAAAATCATACCATTAAATAACGTTCTTTTTTGGAATTGGAAATTCCAGGATTTCTATCATGAGAATATCATTTACGACCTCAGATGTCAAAAAAAAACAAATAATCTTTGCACTAAATTATGCACTTGTACAAAACTATTAGTACATTATTTTTTAAAGTTCAAAGAATTCATTAGTTAGAGGTAATTAAATCAAGCACTTGTTATGTCAATATTATTTATTTATTATATTTTAGTTAATTTAGTTATAAGTATCGCCAGGAAGGCTCGCCTATCTTGTTGATTTTTGAATAAGGTTCTCAAACATTTGTTAATTTACAGATTTTTATAATTCTAATTGTTTGGAAAAGAATATTTACTGGTATAAAAATTGATGAAATGTCTTGAGAATTACATTTTGTGCCTATGAAAAAAAATGTAGCGAAATGTGAATTATTTGTAGAAAATATATGAAATTTTCGGAAAAACGACGATAATTGTTAAAACATTCTTCATTGTAACCTTTAAAATGACGTGAATTGGTAAATACAAGGGGTGCAACATAAGAAAGAGAAATATGTACCTAGAAGACATTGTTAAGTGTGAAACAGCGTCCGATAAAATTGTGTAAAACAAGTAAAAACAAGAAGTTTGTCTTAACAACTTCCTATGGACAATTTATAGAACAGAAAAATGAAAAAAAATTCTTGGTACATATATCGATCTAAGAAAAAATGTATACATACCTATATGTAAGTGGGTTACATTACGGCAACAGGAAATAACAAATTTTCCAAATGAAAAGTGATAGTATCTTATTAAAAAATAGCTGTAAATAGGTTTCCGCAGCTGGCTATAATTTTTCAAAATAAAGATAAGAAATGTAGGGTTCATCTTTTTTGCTGTTTTTCTAGCAATATTTCTGATGAAACTATAGACTTCCTTACACAGCTGAACGCAGAAAAAAATATCTTCCAGAATTGATAAAAAAATATATAGTGTGCCTTTTGAACAAAAACAGTTGACTATAGCAATTTTGACATATATTACCATGGAGACGATCTAGTAATGTCATTTAATAGAGTTTGAGCGGCGATTTAAATATATATATATAGGGTTTGTTATAGCTATTTGTTAAAATAAAAGAGATACAGGGCCGCGAATACCAAACTGAATCACCCAGTAGGTATATAAAATAAATCATACGCACCTAAAACTATTTATAAATTTTGAAAGTTTAATTGAGAGTAAAAATTTTGGAAGTTAAGTTCTCGACAAAGTTATGCAACAAAAATTATTCAAATAATATCGTTCTACCTACACTTGTATCGAAATTTATCGATACTTGTGCAATCGATGGTCGATGAAAAATATATATTCCAATTAGACCGACAAACCATCACCCAACTCTGACCCTCATCGACACAATGTTTTTTTTCCTCGAGAAGCTTCAGTATCAAAACCTGTTTCTGTAGATATAAATAAATAGTAGGCGCAGGTAAATGTTTCATCTTTAATTTACTGGAATTTAATTTTAAAAAATATATAATAAATTTAGTGGAATTTGGAATTGAAAGAAATTATTTTTATTAATTTAAATTAAATATGATAGCTAATATTGAAATACTGACCTACTGTCTATTTAAACAAGTAATAATATAAGTACTTATATTTTGGACCACGGAGGGATTGCAGAATAATATAATAATAATAGAAAATTGGATTAAAAAATAAAAAAGTATATATCTACCACTTATCTTGATTTTTTAGCAAAAAAAAAAATAGATACTATAAAAAAAGCTTATGCTTTGCAATGTACATTGGTGGTTGGAGATGTAAGAAGTAACAAAGACTGTAATTTATGTGTGTAAATGCTGTCGTGTTTCGTTTGTAGATTTAAATGACGGAATTAGGTATTATGTTAAAGTACCTATAACTTAATTTCACAACTAAACTGTTCAGTTGTGTTGATTGTTGCCAGTGACATTACGTACTCTGAAGTAAATAATGTAACAAATTTCATTAAAGAGGTAGGGAATGAATGAGTCTTTGGAATAAATAAAAAGTTTTGGTCACCATTTTTTCCATGTGTTTCTCACTTTCCTTATTTTGAAGAACACGAAGATTTCAAATTTTTTAATCATTTTCTGTTAAAAATGGAGACCTGTACAACAGTGGCGGCTCGTGACATCGAGAATAGGTGAAGCGTATTCATTGAATTATTGAAAAGAAAAAAAAGCGCCGCAGGCGAAAATTTTCAAAATTTCATGGTAAAACGGCTTTAAATAAATCTGGAAATTTTAGTTGCATTTGCAATATTACCGAAAAACTGACATTCGCGAGAAGGATTTTCATTTAGATTTTATAAATAATAGAAATATTAGTTCTGCGAACATTAACGCACACCGTATATACAGGGTGTTTTATGAAGTTCTCCCGGCACTAATAGAGGATATTCCTTGGGTTATTTCTAGAAAAAAAGTTTATATAAACATGTGTCCGATTTGCTTTACTTTGTGAGCTACATGAATTTGAAATTTAAATGTAAAAAGTAATAATCAAATTTGTTGCGTTACGTCTCGGCGCGCTACACATTGGTCAAGTGTGGTCTGACGACATTTGCAAGGTAAAATTTGGCAAGCTTGCAGTTTAGTGTGAAGATTCAATTTTGCAAATTCGCGAACAATGCCTTTTAAGTTTACGACTGCTGAGTATGCCGATATGGTGTTTATTTGTTTTGGGTAATTGCGATGGAAATGCTACTTTAGCTTCACTGGAATATCAACGGCGTTTCCCAAATCGTCGCATTCCATCCCCGAGAACGTTTACCACAACTTTTCATGCACTCAGAGAAACTGGTTCACTTCCAAGTGTTCGCATTCACTACGAACGGGTAAGTCAGCTGAGTGTTATAGAAGAAGAGAATATCCTTGCTATGGCCGAGCGTAATCCCGGTGTTAGTACACGACGGATATCCACGCCTTTAGTGATTCCCAATACCAGGGTATGGAGAACATTAAACAAGAATCTGTTGTATCCATACCATCTACAGCGTGTTCAACATCTGGAGCCAGAAGATTTCCCTAGACGGGTAGAATTTTGTCAGTGGTTGAATAATAATAGGAATTTGAATCGCTACATCTTATTTACGGATGAGCAATTTAGCAGAGACGGTATCAACAACACCCATAACATGCATCAATGGTCGGACGTCAACCTTCATGCCACCGTAGAAAGTAATTTTCAACGTAGATTTAGCGTTAATGTGTGGTGTGGAATGTTATACGATTAACTTATAGGGCCATTTATTATTGAAGGTCGCCTTAATGGACCAAAGTATCTACAAATTTTTAGAGGAAGAACTCCCGCGATTGCTTGAAGATGTACCTCTGGCAAGACGATTAAGAATGTACTTGCAACATGATGGAGCTCCACCTCATATATCCCGAATTGTCACTGCTCACCTAAATGATCATTACCCTGGTCGCTGGATCGGTCGAGGTGGGCCACACATTTGGCCAGCTAGGTCTCCAGACCTCAATCCGTTAGATTACAACATGTGGGATTGGATGAAGGATTTGGTTTATCAAGAGAAAGTGGAAACACGCGAAGATCTAATCCAAAGAATTGTTAATGCTGCAACGCAAATAAAAGAAAAGCACGTGAATATTAGAAATGCAACGCGAGCAATTCACAGGCGTGCTGACAAATGTATTGAAGTAGGAGGTGGAATTTTCGAAAACCTTTTAAATTAAGAATGTATGTATCACTATTACCGATGTTCTAAAAATAAAAATGAAAATTAATTTCCATTATTTTATTTTCAAATTCATGTAGCTCAATAAGTAAAGCAAATCGGACACATGTTTATAGGAACTTTTTTCCTAGAAATAACCCAAGGAACATCTTCTATTATTGCCGGGAGAACTTCATGAAACACCCGGTATATATTGAACTATAGTTTTCGCAATTTAAAAATCCTTTTTGTCCTCAATTTTCCATCTGAAAAATGGCGTTTCCATTAAAATACGTACTGGATCATACATAGAAAACATTTCTACAATTATTAAACAAAACAAATATTAACTAAGAACCGTTATAATCGTGCTCTGAGCGACCAGTACCGTATAAACTGTTTAAAGGCAGGGGCAGGCGATGTGCGATGACAATGCTGCTTCAATTTCTTTGTCACTCGTTCCCCCACGCCGTAGTTTACTCCCGTGTTGGCCGCCTCGTTGCCATGACAACCGCCGTAAACAATACTACAAAGTGAAGCGGAATACAGACTGATTTCGATCTGCGTCACTTGGTTATACTATACGTTGTATGGTACCAGGTTGATGTTCGCTCTCAACGAAGACAATGTTTTGTTAGAAGGCGTTCATCGCGCAACTATTCTGTTTATCACAATACATTTTCAAAATACAATTATACCTAAATTATAAAATTTATATAAATTAAAAATTATTTTAAATTGCACAACCAAATGGAAATTTTAGGTGAAGCAGTGCGTCACTTGCGTCACCTGGCGTGCCGCCACTGCTGTACGACGCTATTAAATTCAGTTGGTCAAATTAAATCTTGCAGTCCAAGATTTTATGGGAAACATGTTTCCCGCGTTGTGTTTTCTTTCAGTTCACTTGAACTAAATCTGAGCGTGGTATCTACTACGGGTTTTTTCGGCGGTTATTCTTCTTATAGTTATACCGAAGTTCTACGAGCAATGAGAACGCAAATGCAACAGCAAGACTTGGAATAAATCGGGGTACGTGATATCCGGAGAATAACAATACGGAAGTTTATAC